ACATGTTGTAATATTCGAAATAAAATAATTAAAATGTTTAATTATACAATTCTACTCATTTTCCAGAAAATGAACCAAACACACAAAAACAGTTTTCCAGAATGCAACCAAACACTGGAAAGGAAAATGTTTTCCGAAAAATGACTCATTTTCCAGAAAACATTTTCCAGAAGTCATTTTCCTGCTTTCCAAACGGACCCTTAGTCTACAAATTGCTAAAATGCTTATACATTATTGTCATAACAAAGTTAAGGATTCACAGCCTGCAAGTTGCTAGCAAAACAAAAGTATAAATCTTTTTTTAAAGTTGGTCAATTAAATAGAGTAAATACCCAAAATGGTCCCTCGACTATAGCTAAATTTACAAATTGATCCTCGACTTTCAATTTCAACCAATTAAGTCCTTAACTTTGTAATTTTAACATAATTTGGTCCTCTGTCTATTTGACCGTTTGTTGACTGTGATTTTTGAGGATATATATGTAATTTCATGGTCCATCGTATGTTTTTTAAGGTTCTGGTTTCATTTTCAGACTGCACTGTTACATTTGAATCCACTACCGAAAGCAATCTACCAAATCCGGTCGCCTTTCTTCATCCTCCCATTAGATTCAATGTAGTTGAGTTCGTACCAGACCGAAGAAGACGACGTGTTTCCGAATCAGTGCAACGTCATCCTAGAGGCCTCCACGTGCTCCAAGGAGAGCTGAAGGTTCTTCTGGAGATCGTCGATCACGGTCAACAAACAGTCAAATAGATGAAGGACCAAATCGTATCAAAATTACAAAATTAAGGACTTAATTGGTTGAATTGAAAGTCGAGTACCAATTTGTGAATTTAGCTATAGTCGAGGGACCATTTTGGGTATTTACTCAATTAAATATATAGCTGAATATAGTTATTACACAACAAATGTTTGATGTTAAAGTACAAAATTTAAGGTTTGGATGAGGTAAAAATATTCGTTTTTTTTTTTTTTTGCCAATAAACCTTTTCGCTTAATTTGACTGAACTTTTATACAGATAAAATATATTATTAAAAGTAAAAATTTAGTATCATAAAACTATACATATATTGATGAATATATTAGACCCAGACCAAGTTTTTAAGCCCAAGCTAGAGGTGTGGCGCAAATCCAAGCAAAGCATGTAGACCGATGGCCGACCTTGGAGTCATCAGTTGTGTTAGGGGGTCAGTTCGCTTAGCATGAGTTCAAACCATATACTCAGGGTTAACAAAAGGCTACCCAAGGAAGAGGAGGTCGTGTCGATTCAGAGTCTCGAGATTGACCATGATTTGGGCTTGGCCACCTGGACTAGCCATGTCATATGAAGCGAAGGCCATAAAGATGTTCGGCCAGTGAAGTTGGCTTTCAGGGTCTATCTTTGAGATCGGCTCCCAGGGTTAACCTCCGGGATCATCTCCATTGGGTCGGTTCTTGGGGTTGGCCTTCGGGATTATATTGGCTCTCAAGGTCGGCCTCCATGGTTAGTCAGTATGTCAGTTGAGCGAAGACCTAGTCTTATGGAGTGCTAGTTATAAGGACTAATTTAATTAGAATACTTCTTGTCTTAGTGAGGACACATTCTTTAATTTGTCTTATTACTACATAATTCTTGTAATATATGAACTATTCCACGAACAATATAATCACACAACTATACTTGTCATTTTCTTTATATTATTTTTGTTATTTCTTTCTAGTTTGTTTGGAATTGATTGATTTGAATATTGTTTCATTTAGTTTCATCATTGATGCTTTCATTGAGAAGTCAACATACAAGTTCAAGCATGCTTTGTATTTTCTCATCATTCATTGAAACCATGGTGAATTGAGTTCACGCAACAAATTGCACGAGTGAGCCCTCATCAACTCGGAATTTTTGTAAAATCAAAAGTTAAATGTGGTTGTTTACTAATTATGAATAGTGATGGCGACAAGGGATCCCGGAGGACCCATTTTATTAGAAAAGTCTTACTTAAGCGAGTGTTAATTTTTATTATAAGGCGTTGGCATAACAGAAATAATGAAAATTTATTAGGCTAAGGAAATAAAGAAGCATGGAGCAAAATAAACTAAGGAAGTGTTGCCAAGGGGTATTAAACCCACCTACAACCTCCTACTTAACAACATAAACACCAACCACTCAAGCTACTCAAATTTCTTGGGTATTAAAGGGCGGGAAGCTCTACTTATGCATGTGGAGTGTGCTGGAAGCAAAGTAATGGGGTGGACACATGTATCGCCAAGATTGAAAACTAGCCAATGTCGTACATTTGTCAACGATCCGAAAGGCCTTCAACACTATATAAGGCACCATTGCGCCTCCCCTTAAAGATCATCCCTTGGATCATAATGACCTTCCTAGCTTGGTGGTTTCTAGTCCTAACCTCTAGGCAATTTATATCGTAGACCAAGGTCCACATACCATTGTGGACCCTAGATCAAAACGACGTCATTTTGATATTTAAGCTTTAATAGACGCAGTAGTTTCCCGTTTCTAATGTTTCAACACAAATTTTAATTTATTCTAGGTACAAAATCAACACTCTTATTAAGGTACATAATTTCATAACACGAGACACAAAAACTCACAACACAAGACACATACACATGTTATATATTTACTTATTCTCAAATCTGATTTATGTAGATAATATATGTCATATAGGCACATAATTTCATAATACAAGACATAATACGTAAAATAAGACACACAATATGTTGCGTGTTACACAACTACTAATCTATTTTAGGGACAAAATGCATACGTTTAAGGTACAAAATTGCATAACATGAGACACAGAAACGCATAACACAAAACACATACACATGTTTTATATTACTTTAGTTACATAATCAATATTCTTAAGGTACATAATTGCATAACATAAGACACAAAACGCATAACACAAGACACAAAAATGCATAGCACAAGACACAAAAGTGCACGCATGTTATATTTACTTTATTTCAGGTACATAATCCATTCACTTATAGTATAGAATTGCATAACATGAGACACAAAATTGCATACACAAGACACATACAAATGCTTTACAGGATAAATAAATAAATAAATAAATCTGTAACGTGAATTGTACAACAAACATTCACCGTCAAAATTAAAATTCAAAACTACGTCGTTTAGGACCAGAGTCCACAGTGCACTGTGGACCCTGGTCCACGGTATAACGATTGTAACCTCTAACCCATGAACAAGGGTTCGATTCCTAGTACCTATATTATTATTTCTAGTCCCCTATTTTGGGTGTAGCTTGTATTATTTATTTATTTGGACCGTCGTTTTGGGCCGGTATCTTGGATTTTGCACGTATTCGAGTCTAACGCCCCGAGCAATAATACTACTATTTTCCTACCCCAGCCCCATTCTGTACTTCCCATACCCGATTTATGGTGGACCTTATCCCGACAAAACCATCAAATAGGAAAAAAAAAAAAAAAAGTGATTTTAATTTTTCATTTGTGGTCGTGGTAAATATTTAATTTTCTAATTATTCATATTGTAAATTGAATCTCTTAAATATTAGATGTACCATTAATAAACCACTTAATTAATAAAGTGAGAAATCAAATCCCTTAATTTGATAATATATAATTGATGAACTTAATTTACATTGTAGTGATAAGTGATAAAAATGTCTTTTTTTTCTTATAAATAAATACTAAATAAATCTAGGTTCACACTTGTGTGAGACCGTCTCACGGATCTTTATTCGTGAGACGGGCCGGGGCGAATCAACATGCAAATGTCATTCTTATATGCTCAAATATAATACTAATCAGAAAAAAAAAATTACTTATAAGGGAAAATGTAATACTTTTGATTAAAAATGTAATACTTTTACATTTTGATGTAAAAGTATTATATTTTCCAACAAAAGTATTACATTTTCCATAATAAGTAATGTTGGCAAATGACCCTTACTTATAAGAAAAGTTATAATACTTTTGAAGAAAAATGTAATATTTTTAAATCGAAACGTAAAAGTATTACATTTTTCATTAAACGTATTACATTTACTCTTATAAGTAACAAATTTTTTATTCTTTATTACTATTACATTTGAGCATATAAGTATGACATTTGTACATATGAGTATTACATTTTCATCTTGACCTGACCTGGCCGTCTCACGGTGAGACGATCTCACGCAACTTCACATCTAAATTATTTATCTAAAATTCTAAGTTGAAATTTCATTTTCGAATTATACCTTGTAAGCTCATGAGTTTTATAATATTGCTTTTCTTTGCGTTTCTATTTATTAAAAAAAATACAAGTAGTTATTATAGAATTGTAATTAGAAAGTATATACTTCTTAGGAAAAGAACATTTCGATTTGATATCTTTTTTGCCCTTTTCTCTTAAAATATATAGACTTTTCTACAATACCAAAGTACCAAACATAAAAATATAACTTATTAAAAATAAAAAGTGACGGGGATTATATTCATTTATAATTTGAAAATTTTTGACTAATTAAGTAATATCAATTGTATTTAACTACTTATTGCAACTTTTTACTCTTTATGTGCGATAATGTAACTTTTTCTCAAAATGAGAAAATTCGTAAATAGTGTAATGGTTTAGTTTCGTCGCTTGACTTAAAGGTCATGATTGGAGACGACAGTATAGGGTTCTAGATTGAATTACTTGTCTATAAATGAATATTAAAATTTGACTGGTGGTTCATTGTACAACTCACAATTTACTTCTGCTTAAGATTAGTCCGATAAATTAGGATCGCGTTAAAAAATAATAATAATGAAAGAAAAATTGTAAAAAATCTGAAAAAAGAATAGTGAGTCGTACACATGTGACAATATTATTATGGCAATCAAGAATTATAAATGCTGTGTTTGGAATGATGAGGTGCTGACTCATACAAAAGGGAATTTCCTACCATGCATTAAACATTATTTAAACAATTCCGAATCAGATTTTGCAGTGTGACCCTCCCCACTCTACTTAAATGCTCTTCTTCACCACTAGAAATACACACTACAGAGTGTGTGTGTGAGAGAGAGAAAGAGAGAGAGAGAGTTTAAAAGAAGGCCTTTCATTTCCTTGTGCAGTTTCAGAACACAGTGAACTCTTCCATATAGAAACTCATAAAAAAGAAGTCTACAAGACATGGGTGAGGTATCTCTCTCTCTCTCCTCTCTCAAAATTATTTTCCATTATATATTTTTTCTATCTGTTTCTTTTTTTTTTTCTTTTTAAATTGTTGATCTGATGGTATTTTGGAAGGAGAACAAAGGGGAAGGGAAGAAGGAGGGTGAGAAGAAAGAAGAAGTGAGCAAGGAAGAGAAGAAAGAAGAGAAAAAGGAGGAAGAAGAGAAGATTGAAATTGTGCTCAAGGTTGATATGCACTGTGAGGCTTGTGCTAGAAAAGTCACAAGATCCTTGAAAGGATTCCAAGGTATATTCATATTCACTCATAATTAAAAAAAAAATAAAATAAAATAACTCACTCTGTCACATTTTATCGGTCTTACTCACTATTCATGTGTTAAATCAGCTCTTTCTTCTTTTGTTTATTTCTATTAGCATTTTCTTATAATTTTTAAATTTGATTTTTGTGTTTAATAGTTCTTTTGATGTAGTTTCTAAATATTTACATTTTACATACTAATTCTAAACTTAATATTATAAAAAAATTTAATTGTAAATAACTTCAGGCCTCGTTAACCGAACTCGATACATAAAATGGGACGGAAGAAGTATATTATTTTACAGTGTTTTATTCAATGGTACCTATAATTCTATACATATATTAAGTATAAAAATTATATTTTTTACTTTGTAGAGTTATGCTGCCCCTATATATCTATGACAAAACACAAAAAAATAAATTTATAAAGTATAACACATTGTAATCATGACAATAAAAATTTCCCCCATAATTAGAGTTGTTTTCCCCTTGCAAGAAAGGGTTTTTACCCTTGTTTTGTAACTTCTCCTCATTTCCCCATTATTTGTATTTATTTTTTAAACCCGTTAAATTTGTAACCTTGTGATTATCAAGTCAATAATTCGATTAATTTGGTTAGATTGCCCCCTCATTTCTCATTCACCCACATAAATAATTGTCAGTTAAACTTGATTTATTTGTTAGTTAAACTTGATTTATTTTTTATTGGCTCACATCTCAATTTATAACACCAGACACAAAAATTTTTAAAAAGTGTCCACAACTTATTATACCCCAAGAATATTATACCAGAAAGTTGTTTTAATTTTTTTATTTTTTTAAAGAATACTAATTATACAAAATGCAGGAAAAAAAAACTTTATTTTATAGGGGAATGAGCCTTCTTTTGTTTCATATATACTTTAGCCCACTAACCACATGAACCTGATAAGCTTCCAAGTTTTGAATTCAAAGTCTTTGATATTCTCAATGAGTTATTAGACAATAATAAAAGGCCACAGTCCAACATTGGCCTACAAGACATATTATTACTTTTATGTTTCACTGATATTTACATGACAATTTTTACAATGTCACTCCTCACGTACGTTAAGCTGTAAGTTTCTATACATTCTTTACGTTTAATTACTTTATTGTAAAAGAAATGAGTTAATTTTTTATTTTTTACTCTTTGCTATCTTGATTATTGTGTTTGCTCACTTTTAGTCATTGAATTCTATGATTATCGAAAATGTATCACTTTTACTTTTCATCGTGGGACAAAAAGCTGTTAGCTGATTGAGTTAGTGGGTTTTACTAGTTGATATCATTAGTTGATTGTAGAAAGATATTAATAGTTGGTTAGATGTAAAATGACTTTCTCAAAAAGTTAATAAAAAAAATAAATAAATAAAAAACTGCTCTGAGCAGTTTTTTAAATTTTTGTATTTTGGAGCAATAAGCTGTTACCAAAAATTAATTAATCAAACACTTATATTGGTTGTTTAACCAAGTCAAATAGTTAATAGTAGTCAAATAAGTTAAAATTGACTGATAAGCTAACTATGGTACCAAATATAGACCTTAATCTACCTTAGCTTTATACTAATTAAGGATTAAAGGTTTATGAGTTAAATTGCGTTTGGGGTAATTTTATAACAGGAGTGGAGGAAGTAACAGCGGATTATAAGGCAAGCAAAGTTGTGGTGAAAGGTAATAAGAGTGTTGATCCTATGAAAGTGTGTGAAAGGATTCAGAAGAAAAGTGGCAGAAAGGTTGACCTCATTTCGCCTATTCCCAAGCCCCCTGCTGAGGAAACCAAGCAAGAAATCAAAGAGCCCCCTAAAGAAGAGAAGAAAGATGAGGTATGCCTCCTCTCTCTCTTCCTCTCTCACATATATATAATTTTTTTATGGTGTTGTGAAAAAGTTATGTTCAAAGCAGTAAATGTACTTTGAACATTGCCAAAATAACAAAAGGGCATAGGATTTTTTTTTAGGAGGGTTATCTTACATTATGGACTTGGTCCGAAAATGACATTCAAAGTATGTGGTATGTAGGTTGTAGTTAACAAATTATGTATCTGTAAATAAATTGAAGACACCCTAGGCGGGGCGAGTTAAACAAGCCCGCTTCTTGGTGGATTGCTATTTTCAAAATCCACCCTACCTAAGTAGGGGCAAGCTGGGTTGGCGGGCAAAGCCCCTTTTGACGGCTCTAATAATATGTTAACTGCAGACACAACATATGTTAACTACATGTTTTTGTAATTAATATATTTATTATGTATAGCTTTCAATTTATTTAGAAATATATAATTTTACTAACTAAAGATACATAATTTATTAACGGTAGAAACATAATTTGTAGATCAGAATTCACTACATTGGATCTTAATCCATGGTACAACAATTATTGGGATTTTACTCCCTAGCATATCCTATGGTTGTGGCTTTTGTTTTGACTCGGCAGACAGACAAATATAACAATTGTGTGCCTCCACAGCTTTATCAGTGGTACATGCTTTTCATCTTCTTAATTAAATAGCATCCTAGAGTAGTTGCAGTGGTTTTAACCTAGCTAGCTACTCAATGAAGTACTAACTATTATTGGACATTAAATTTTAAATTTTAGACCAAAAACCCCATCCACTAGCTTAGGGAAATGGGTTGGCTACAAGAATTATGGTCCCATGAATCATGATTGCTGAATGTGAAGCATATATAAACATAAATGTGTAATTCAATTATCAATTTAGACCTACTTTTAGGTGAGATAAAACGTATCGGTTAATTTGGTATCAGAGCCCACTTCATGTTAAAGGTCATAGATTCGAATCTCCACGTTTGAGAGTGGTGGGTATGTAAGAACTAAAAAACTATCAGTAATTTAGATGTACTTTTAGGTGAGATTGAGTGCATCCATCAATTTGGTATCAGAGTCTACCTCATGTTAAAGGTCATGGATTTGAATTTCGACGTTTGAGAGTGGTGGGAATGTAAAAATTAAAGAACAAGAACAGTTAATTGTAAAACACATCGAGTTGTGATTGCGGGTTGTGAGCTGACATGAAAGCAACCCAACATAGCAGAGTGAAGTTGCAGTGTGTTGGCAAAGGACAGCCATGGTGAGTCACACAACACCACATAGCTATGGGCACATTTTACAATGCAATGCAATTGGGGGGGTGGACCAGGAAGGGAAGAGGACTGTTCTGTTTTTTAGGTGAAGAATTGAAGAGTTATGGATCTGAGACTAAAATAATAATATATATTATTATCAAAAGGTGCACTGTGAAGATTAGGCGCATTACATTATGCATGGGGCCTAAAGTTGTCCTCACTCAAAAAATGTGCAATAAAACAAAAACTCATTTCTGCAAAGCTACCATGCATATCATTTGAGCTTTTAATGAAGGAAACAACAACCACAACTAAACATGGGAGATATGATATGATCGAGTTGTAAACGGAAGAAATTCTTAGTCAATGTGACTTGTCACGTTTACAAATATATTATATTATGAATATAAATATTTTATGTACTAAAGTGACTTTTTAATGAGAAAGTTATATTAAATTCAAATTAATTAATATATATAGAGTCAAGATATTGTCGGATTACGTAAAATATTCTAATTATAAATGCAAATTTATGTTTATTTATTGTGAATATGTGCTTTATCTTAAACTAAAGTAGTCAAGTCCTAGGATTTATTGATTGCTACTAGGTCTAATGTTTATTTTTCTAATTCTATGTATGTCTACTTTTTTTTTTTTTTTTTTTCGTGATCCTCCCTCCCTTTGTTATTAAGGGTGTGTTTGTAAACCCAGAAAATAAGTTCTAGTGTTTTGCAAGGCTTGAAAAATTAAAGTCATGAAAAATTAATTATGGTCAAAGGGGGAAATCACCTTTTTTTTTTGAAAAATAACTTTCATTTTTTTGAGAGGAAGTAATTTTCCAAACCTCTTCTCTTTGCCTTCCGAACATTCTTCAATTCTTCAACCATCTTCTCCAACCTATCTCCTTGGCGACTAACTAATCACCTTCCATCGGAGAAGGCAAACAATTGGTCGTCTTCTCTGAGATGGGAAGGCGACCAAGCAACCGGTAGCTGATTTTGTCTTCAGAGTTGATCGGATAAGTTTAGGGTATTTGACCATTTTTCTTTTATGTTCATTTTCTAGAAAATGAACCAAACACACCAAGACAGTTTTCTAGAATGCAACCAAACACTATAAATGAAAATATTTTCTGGAAAATAACACATTTTCTAGAAAACATTTTTCAGAAGTCATTTTCCTGGTTTTGAAACACACTTTAACTTCAATCGAAATCACGATGTAATTTAATTATTTAATGTCATTGGTATTTTTTTTTTTTTTGAAGAAGAAGAATTGGTAATTTTTTTATCTGGTCCATTTTTTAAATTGGTTTTGTTGTTGCAGCCTCCTCCAGTCGCAACAGTGGTTCTGAAAGTTCAAATGCATTGTGAGGCATGCGCTCAGGTCTTGCAGAAGCGAATCAAGAAAATTAAAGGTACCAATAACCATCATACTTCACACTTCACACCCTACTAACAAAAAATACTACGGAGTATTATTTTTTTAGTTTTTATTTTTAGTTGTTTCTACCCATGTCAACAACTTATTCAAATATAAACTTTTTTTGTGTCATTTCATCATAAAAGTTTAACAAGTTATACTAAAACCACACTATTTGAACACCATTAATATTTAAAATCATAAGGAAAAATGGCATTTTAATCCCTCAATAATTATGACCAAACTATAGATTTAGTCATTCAATTATTTAAAGTGTTCGTGTATTTAGTCCCTCAATTATTGTCACAGTGACGAATTTGGTCCATTGAGGCTAAATCTGCATTGTAAATAATTGAGGGGTTAAATTTGTACTTTGCTCATAATTGAAGGATTAAAAGTGTCATTTTTCAAAATCATTATATATGTGTATAATTGTATATGATATTTTATGATAAAATAATCAATTATTATATTGTGAACCACAGACATACATGTTCAATTCATTTCTTAAAAAGAAGTTCATCTGTAGTATATACTATCTAAAAATTGAACTTTTAGTACATTAAATATTAAACTTTTTTTTTGGTAAAAAAAAAACTAAAGGAATAAGGTTCAAATTGGCCACTGAACGTAACCTGAAAATGCAATTAGGCCACTGAACGAAAAAAAAAAAGTGCAATTAGGTCATTGAACACTCAAAAAATGTGCAATTAGGCCACTGAACTCTCCAAACGCATGCAATTTTACCGGATAGCAGGTTACCATCAATTTTAGCAGGTTACCTGCTTACGTGGCAGCTTAGTTGGCATTTTTAAATAATTTTTAATAATTAATTTTAATAATAAATTTTATAAAAAATTGGAAAAAATTAAATAAAAAATAAAATAAAGTTGTTTTTATTTTTTTTTAAAAAAAAATTAATAAAAAGTTATTATTAAAATTTATTAAAAATTAATTAAAATTTATTAAAAATGCCAACTCAGCTGCCACGTAAGCAGATAACCTGCTAAAATTGATGGTAACCTGTTTTCAGGTGAAATTGCACATTTTTAGAGTGTTCAGTGGCCTAGTTGCACTTTTATTTCGTTCAGTGGCCTAATTGCATTTTCAGGTTACGTTCAGTGGCCCATTTGAACCTTATTCCAAAAATAAATTAAACTTCAATATATTAGTGATTTACCTTAGAATATGAATCATGGTCCACGGAATAATTTGGTATTGATAGATATGGAATAAGCTATATTTTCTTACGTGGCCCATGACTCACTTTTAGTTCATTTTTTTTACTCATTTTAAATCAGGGATTTAAATTTATCCTTACAAATTACTCTACCTCCCCACCCCATTAAGAAGACATGCTTATATATACTTCAATTTGTAAAAATAGTTAGCTTAGTACTAGTGTATAAATTTATTATATATTTATGAAAATTAGATTTCCAATTAGAAAAATGTTATATAAAAAGGGCAATATTGGAGGGAAAGAAATTTGGAGGGTGCAACATTACTCTTATTATTATATATACATACGATAATATACGGAGTACATATATATTTTCTTGATATTGTTGAATTTTGATAATCAAAACTTACGATTTTAATAAATGATAAAATTTAAAAGTTTAAATAATTTTAAGATAATTATGGAGGAGTATTTTAATTTTTCAAAAAAAAAATGGAGGAGTATTTTAATGTTGGACTACATATAATAAGTGGGAATGGATATATATAGGCGTTGAATCAGTGACAACGGAGCTTGGAAGCAATGAGGTGAGGGTAAAGGGCGTGGTGGATCCAGAGAAGCTTGCGAAGGACGTGTACAAGAAAACAGGGAAGCAAGCTTCCATAGTGAAGGAAGAAGAGAAGAAGGAAGACAATGAGGAGAAGAAAGAAGGGGAGAAGAAAGAGGAAAAGAAAGAGGGAGAAGAAGACGAAAAGAAAATGGATGAGACAGAAATGAAGAAGAACGAGTTCATGGCTATGCCCCCTAAATACTACTTGGATTACGCCTATCCTCCTCAGATTTTCAGCGACGACAACCCTCACGCTTGCACCCTCATGTGATCATGATCATGATCATCTGATCTGGAGGGTGAAATTTTTATGCATGCAAGCAATTTTTCATGGTCTGATGATATGATGTTAATAAGGCAGCATGCAGCTAAACAACTACGTAATGTAATGTAATGCATGGACGTGGTGTTAGAGTGTTGTGTATTTCTTTAAATTTTGTTTATTTTTACCTAATAATTTGAACTTTAATTTTGGGTGTGTGGTGATGAGGATAATGGAGGAGAACTGGAGAAGTGAAGAAGAAGCTGTAAATAGTGACTTCAAGAACTTGTTGAATTGGTTGAGTTGGCAGATGTATGTAGTTTTAGCACTGCGTTTTTGTATGGTCTGCAGAATTATTATTTAAATCAATATATGTATGTATGTATGTACTTCCTTATATATATATTTGCTTTCATTTTGGTGATGTTAGACTTAATTTCAAATTTACATGTTTTTTATGAGCATCTTTAACTTCGTATGTTTTCGAATCAAGTCAAAAGTAAATATATATGGTTCTATTTGGATTAATTTTAGTTTTTCCTATTCCTCATCTACATACAAGTCAAACATTTGAAAATTTGTCTTTTTTTTTTTTTATTTGCCATGCCATGAATGAAACCACAATTTTGGTTTTCTCTCTCTCTCTCTCTTTTTTTTTTAAATAAAAAAAAAAGTAAAATCTCTCATCTCTCTTGTCTTTCTTATATTTTCTATCTACTGAAGAGAGATTAACCATTACAACATATTTGATTCATGAACTAAATATTAAATGAAATATAATATTGACATATTGTTCTTGGAAATTAACTAACCTTATTGCGTCATTTCTTAATGCTTTATATTCTCAAGAATATCAATTCAAAAATGAGGGTTAGGAATTATCTTTGTATAGGTTTTGATGATGTTAATTGATGTAACTTTAAGGATTTAGTGATGAAGACATGACAAGAGAATTGAAATCAACTTATCAAAATGGTATTTGATGTTACATGGGAGAATTAAAGAACAAGTAGTACATTTACTAATTAATTACGATGAGGACATGGCAAGAGAATTAAAATCAATTCATCAAAATCAGATTTGATGTTACATGGGAAAATTAAAGAACATTTACTAATGATGAGGACATGATAAGAGAATTGAAATCAAGTCATCAAAATCAGATTTAATTTTACAAGGGAGAATTAAATAACATTTACTATGCATTCAAAAAAAAACATTTATTACTTTAATTTTAATGTTAAGAGAGTGAGAGACTATTGGTATTTCATTTCAATTAATAGTGTAGTGTTAGAAAGTGATCTACATGCCTATTTAAAGGCTAAACACAGTCAGAATTTAGACATAGAGCAACAAAGTTGAAATCAGAAATGTTAGGTCGTTTACTTCGTTTTTCTGTTTTTCCATTTCCAGTTTTCCATTTCTCCATTTCTCCAGTTTTCCTTCTCCATTCTTCCAGTTTTCCATTTCTCCAATTTTCTAATTTTCATTCCACATTCCTCTAGTTCTTCATTTCTCTAATTTTTTGATTTTATTAAATACAACCACCTCATATAGCATTTTTACATTTATACAACAAATATAATAATAATAATAATAATAATAATAATAATAATAATAATAATAATAATAATAATAATAATAATAATGTGTGCATAAGGATGAGGGAAATGGAAAATGGAAAAAAGATAATAATAATAATAATAATAATAATAATAATAATAATAATAATAATAATAATAATAATAATAATAATAATAATAATAATAATAATAATAATAATAATAATAATAATAATAATAATAATAATAATAATAATATGATGATGATGATGATGATGATGATGATGATGATGATGATGATGATGATGATGATGATGATGATGATGATGATGATGATGATGATGATGATGATGATGAAAAGATAATAATAATAATAATAATAATAATAATAATAATAAAAAGATAATAATAATAATAATAATAATAATAATAATAATAATAATGATAATGATGATGATGATGATGATGATGATGATGATGATGATGATGATGATGATGATGATGATGATGATGATGATGATGATGATGATGATGATGATGATGATGATGATGATGATGATGATGATGGCAAAGGTGCAACTGAAGGAAAGGCAAAGACAAAACTAATAATAATAATAATAATGACAAAAGCGCTGAAGCAAAGGCAAACTGGAATCAAACTAGCGACCTCATAGCCAAAGAGCACTGTTCACCCGTGTTGCTCTCCATCTCTCCATTTGGAGATATCCAAATTTTCATTCTCCAAAAATATACATGAAGTGGAGAAATGGAGAAGGAATAAGCATTTGGAGGAAGAAATTTAGTAAACAACTTCTCCAATTTTCATTTTTCCACTTCTCAATTTCTCTATTTTTCTGGAAAATTCTCCATTTTTCCAACTTGGTAAACGACCCCTAAGACATTTTCTTGTCTCTCTTGTGTGTTGAGAGGTGTTATTATAGACTTATCAAGATAATTACCAATCTTGTGGTGCTATCCATTCCTTATCACCTAAGACCAATATGTGACAGAAATATCCTTATAAAAACACAAAAATAATCTTGATAGGGAATATACCCCGGCCTACCGATTCTTACGTACCATATACCTGCTCGGATCCCACTCCCTGAGTGACGTTGGTCCATTCATGACCGAATCCGTCCTCGAGGAAGCACTTGACCGACACGACCAGAAGATTACACCTTTTATCTGCTTAATGAGCTTTTGCTCTTACTCTTTTGTGCTCGATCCCGACCCGAGTGCTCGATTATATTAGGGCCCCGGACCCATGTGGTTAGTCTTTAGAGAAGAACATTAGCGGGAACACTCAAACCGAGCCCGATAGTCATTGGCCAATTAGATATTCCTTTGCATGTGGACGCTCCTCCTTAAGCCGCTAAGACCACCGAGTGCATGGAAGACACGTGGCGTGCATATCGGCCCCCGACATGTGTTCCCTCCTAGGGCTTACAAATATCCCATGAGGCACCCTTAATCGGGGGATTGGCTCTCTCTCTAAACCCTTACCAGCTCGGGCACCTTCGGCCTTTGGTTGCAATTACCCAAGTTACCATTCTCAAATACATTACTCAGTAATATACGAACACATATATCTAGTGGAATTTACCACGTCAAATCCCCTACCCAACACCAACATCAGCCAAATTCATTCTCCTACACCCCAGGCCAAATCGTAGTTCTTGTACTTGTTGTTTTAATTTGGTGAGAAAATGATCGGGTAACTTTAATGTTCGGAGACTATTGGTATTTCATTTCAATTAATAGTGTAGTGTTAGAAAGTGATGTACATGCCTATTTATAGGCTAAATACAGTAAGAATTTAGACATAGATCAATGAAGTTGAAATCACAAATGTTAAGACATTTTCTTGTCTCTCTTGTGTGTTGAGAGGTGTTAGACTTATCAAGATAATTACCAATCTTGTTGTGTCATTCATTCCTTTATCACCACCAATGTGTGGCAGAAATATCCTTATAAAAACACAAAAATAATCCTGATAGGGAATATACCACGACCTACCGATTCTTACGTACCATATACCTGCTCGGATCCCGCTCCCTGAGTGACGTTGGTCCATTCCTGACTTAATCCATCCTCGAGGAAGCACCTTACCGACACGATAAGAAGATTACACCTTTTATCTGCTTAATGAGCTTTTGCTCTTACTCTTTTGTGCTCGGTCCCGACCCGAGTGCTCGATTGGGCCCCGGACCCATGTGGTTAGTCTTTAGAGATGAACATCAGCGGGAGCACTCAAACGAGCCCAATAGTTATTGGCCAATCAGATATTCCTTTGCACGTGGACATTCCTCCTTAAGCCGCTGAGACCACCGAGTGCATGGAAGTCACGTGGCGTGCATATCGGTCCCCCGACATGTGTTCCCTCCTAAGGCTTACAAATATCCCATGAGGCACCCTTAATGGGGGAATTGGTTCTCTCTCTAAAGCCCTTACCAGCTTGGGCACCTTCGGCTTTCGGTCGCGATAACCCAAGTTACCATTCTCAAATATATTACTTAGTTAGTAATATACGAACACATACATATATCTAGTGGAATTTACCACGTCAAATCCCCTTCCCAGCACCAACATCCGCCAAATTCTTTCTCCTACACCCCAGGCCAAATCGTAGTTGTTGTACTTGTTGTTTTGGTGAGGAAATAATCGGGTAACTGGAGGAAACTTTGATGAATCGACTCTAGAGTTCATCCCCAAAGATCCGTATCACTTAGACTCTCCAAAAAATTGTTTTATAATAATCCTCATGGATTAACCTTTGTATACAGCAATATTAGGATTTAATCTACAAAACTCCCTCCACCGTCTTGTCCAACAAAATTGACTCTATTTTTCCTCATTTTCCAAACAGCCTCTAAGCACTCGCCTTTCCCAATTGCGTTATGCAACCGTGTAGCTTATGCCTTACGAGTTACCACACTTCAATCCCCAACCTTCTTCTCTTCCAATTTAAGGTACGATCCTAAAACATTGTTTATTTGCTCCGCCTAGATCTAATTCACTCCCGGATGTCTACTCTTTAACCCAACCCCATGGCTCCAACAATATTCCTATGGTACAAGTCATTAAGACTAGCTACAAAAATCTTTAAAAATAATTTGAACAAGAGAAAATATGAGAAGGTAAATTTGTGAGAACAATGGGATTGTCCTCTTTCATTTATCAAAATAATGTTTTCATTGTTACAAAAAGAGACAAACTAGTTGAACAAGAAGTTGATGCTACACACTAGCCACTTTTGTAACACCTTGTCTCATGTGCAAATTGATACATATTCTATAGATGCATCCCTCATCAACTCCTGTCAATGGCGTCTTAACTTCATTTGTTCTTGACATATATTGTTGTTGCACCACCAAGACTGAGACCGGCAATCTGATATGCTCAATAGCAAACATGTCCCCAATAGGCCCCAATTGGGTATATCGTTCCACTAGGAAAGCCCGAAAAGTTGAGGCAAATCAAGTTCATATAGCGTCTGCCCACCAGAATAAGGTCAAAAATGTGTTCCATCTCGCGCAGTCTCCGCCCCATCCCTTACCGTTTCCTCTTCCCTACGTTTCGGTCTAGCGAAACGAACCGCACCACCGTCAACTGAACCCACAACGTATTGGACATGCGTTTGGCCTAGCACAACGCCTCGCGGTCATTAGCTCCTCCTATGATTACCACGGAGATGTGGTAGGACGACAACGATAGCAACGTCCGGTGCAGCCGCCGTGTCTTTTCCCAGTCTATCAAAATGCCCATGGAGCAAGGGGCCAGGTCTAACAAAGTGCTGCTCAGAAACCTCATGCTGGTGTTATCCACTATCAACCT